CCATTACAGAAGCCGCTTCCGAAGTTCATCCTCTTCAGTGTTGTGAGGACGAAGGCCCAATTAACTCGGTCATAAGCCTTCTCCATGTCGAGCATAAGGACCGCCAGTGCTTTCACGCCGTTACAGTATAAGAGACAGGAGAGAGAGAGAGAGAGAGAGAGAGAGAGAGAGAGAGAGAGAGAGAGTTTCAATTTTTCCAAGTTCCAGCGATCCCTGGGCTTTCCGACAGAAGTAGTGACCTTTCCAATAATAGCCCAGGGATTGTCAGAACTCGAAATCTTTTAGAACGAGTCAAGAACACTCCATCTGTAAACGCTGGCAAGCACACACACACCGTCTCTTTTTTCCCCCTCTTCTTCCAAAGGCTCCCACTTATTCTATACTTCTCAAGTCATTTCACCGAGTCGAACTAGAGTCGAGCTCAACCGGGTCTTCTTACACCGTCCATCACTCACTCACATAAGAGAAACAAACTAAAGACAGTGCATATAGAAAACGAAGAGGCAAAAAATAAAAACAGAAAAAAAAAACGAAACTCTTAACCCAGGAATCGGTTTCAAAGGAAGAAGAAACCTTCACCATCTTACAGCAAAACCTTTCGAATCTTCGATCGAAATCCATGGTACTTCACAGCAGTTGCAAGAACCGTAACTCCATCGAATCGCCAAATATTTCAGGGGTTCATCAGTTGACAGTCTGCCCTCAAAACACATCTGCAGATTCTGCACTATAGAAGAAAGAAAATAAAGGGGAAGTGAAGAAGGGTGAGATGCCCTTACAGAGGGCGAGGTAGTGAAAAATGAACTATTTGAGTCTCGAAGACTCGAAGAGATTTGTCCATTTTGATTTAAACTTCAACCAGACATCATTTTCCGGGCATTTGCTGCCGTGATCATTCTGCCTTCGAGGATTCATACACAACTGATGAATGTGACTCACCCTTTGTCCAAACCTGCTGCCCGTCCCACATGTGGCACTCCTAACTTCACTAGTGATCCCGTTCCCAAATCCACAAGGGACCACCTGGTCATTTATCGACTTGTACGGACGATGAAGAGGGTCGGAAGGGTCAAGCCCAAGCTGATGCATTCTGACTGCAGTCTCGAACAGGTAGTGATAGCACTCAGCCTGCCAAAACAATGCCCCCGTGTCAGAACAACCATCTTTTCTCACAAAGCCCCAGTGGTAAACTCGTCTGTTTCACCAGCTCAAAAAATTGCAGGTGGTGGCCCCAAGAGTCAAAATCAGCCTCATGAAGGCTAATGAAATGAAGGAATGCACCCGCAGTAGATTTCCAGCTCCTTAGACTGACAACCACTACAACAAATTTGAAGAGAGAGAGAGAGAGAGAGAGAGAGAGAGAGAGAGAGAGAGAGAGAGAGAGAGAGAGAGAGAGAG